CTGGGGGGAAGGGAGGGATAATGCACTCACCTGTGGCTCATGTATTTATACCTCTGCTATCCAGAAATGAAACACTTGTGTGGAGATGGGTTCTTACTGCGTAATTTAATAAAGTTTTAAAAAAAGAAAAAGAACATGTATTCATAATTTCCTTGTATGCAAAACTACTTGTGGTTGTGAAAATTACGGGGGAGAATAAAATGCCAAATACAAAAAAAAATCCCAAATTAGAGCAGGATTCTACGGAGACTTAAATGTGCGTAACTAACATTGAGGAGGCAGCTCACGTGCTTAGGAGTTAGTGGGACTGTCAGCTTTTCTGTGCTGATGCGTTTTCCTTGGTAAATGTTGACAATATGGCAGATTGGTACAGTCTTGGTTAAACCCAAAATGCAGATTCTCTGTGTGCATCTTGCATATTAAATAAGACTGCATTAGTTACCTTATCTTTTAAAAGATAATGTGTTTCTTATAAAGACATAAGGTTACTTCTTTTTTTTTTCAGTAAAACTGAGACATTTACTTTTTTCCAGCAGTAAGACAGACCTAGAATAATACAAATCTAGAATCTAATCTTTGTAAATACATACAAATCAGCTGAAGCTGTAGAAGTCAAACCGTTCAGCTGATGGCAGTTTTTTGCGCGATGCTCACCTGCAGTAAACGTTATCCAAGGGATTGTGCTATAAACTCATTTCTCAAAGTCCCGTTGAAAGTATGCTCATCAGTTTAAAGTTGTTACCCCTCCCAGTTATATAGGCTAGGGTTGAGATGCTCTTATCCCTTTGAAAATGCAGTTACTAGTTTGCCTCTCTTCCCGCTCCCCTCTGTAAAGCCAGGATGTGAGCACTGCTCTACCAAACGGGTTACTGGGGTGTGTTAAGCAAATGAGTCATTAGTGGTGTCTTAGACTATTTTGGTGGAATAATGGCAGTGTCATGTTAATGTAACTGAAATTGAAATTACAACAGATGTGTACAGTTAACAGAAATTATTTTGGTACTTTATGGTCCCTTTTTCTTTTGCAACAATTAGTTTTGCCTTCAGTGATCAGTCTAATTAACTAGTAATGTATTTTGTCTGTAATTTTTCAAATATCTGTGAAAGACTCAAGTCTCCTGTATAAATCAGACATAAAACAGAGGGAAGGGAGCTGGTTTTCCAAGGAAAAATGAATGAGACATCTATAAAAGCATCGGTGACCCTTAATGCTAGTGCGAGGTTACCTTGTGTGGGAGAGGAGGGTGTTCACTGCACCAACTCCACTGTGGGAATTGCGGCAGCCGTCAGCCCCAGCCCTGTGACACCACGTAGTGCTGCCCACCCTCTGATAAACTAAACTGATCAAATAATATCTATCCTGTTAACTGCCTTGTGATACCTGAAAGAAAAGTACCATGTAAAAATACGACTTCAGAAATACTGGAGGGGAGTGGAGAGGTTAAAGCTCCATTTTTCTAAATGCTGTACTCCTTAAGGTTAATTTGCTTCAATTATTCATCGGTGCGTTCTGTGCCTGGTACATTTTGCTATCCTGTTTTAGCACACTCAAGTACTTCAAAGATTGCTTTTTTTTCCCCTTTCTTTTTTTTGCAAGCTTTTCCTAAATTTAGCAGACACACCCCTTTGCGCACTGAAGAATTGGACTAGGAAAAAAGTTTGAGATGACACCTGCCATCCATTTTGCAGTACCCAATTATCACACACATTTTTTTTTCTTCAGTGGAAAATTCTTATTCATGAGTATCCTCCCAACGTTTTAGTTGAAGAATTTCATTGAAAGTGTAGATATTACATAAAACTACTGTTGTATGTACTTAATTGCATAGCTGATGAGAGCAATTTTGCCATCCATCAGACTAATTTCTTATTAATGGCATAAGAAAAAAGGTTGAGGTGCATTTATTATACTAGATATGGTGAATGGGTGGAGGCTTAACATGTAAAATACGTGTCTCTTCGAAGTGCACAGAGCAATTAAACTCATTTTAAAGGTGCTTTGAAGTTAGCTTGGGCATCTAATTTTCTGTGCATCTGCTAAGAGAGAATCTCAGCGTAGGAAGAACGCATCACATCGCAGCATGATCCGTGTCATACATTGAAGCATACAGAAAACAATTGGCTTTCTATAGCTCAGGTAATGTATGGGAGGTGATTAATAGTTTTCCACACTCTGAGCTACTGCTGTTACCATTCTCTGCCTTCCACATTAGGATTCTGATTTTAACAACCAAATTTATAAACATGCACATGTATATGTATACACACACATTTTTTTTTCATTTTACATTGTGCTTCCAAAGACCTGGCTGCTCAGGCAGGGGGGTGTGTAGTGTCGCAGGGCCCCGTGCTGTCCTGTTCTCTGCAGTGTGGTGGAGCATCTCCTCCGGTGTTCTGGGCGGTGAGGGCATCCTGCAAGGCTCGCGTTCCTCTCTGCCCCTCCGAGTTACGGAGAAACACGTAGTACGAGATAACTGTACCTCTGGGGGCCCTCTAGGGTGGGAGAAGAGCTGTGACGGTAGACTGATTTGGGAGCTGGCACTTGAAAGACTAGCTGGAAGATAATGAATCTGACTGGTTGGAGATGATGGAAATACCTGCTTTTTTCATTGGTAAGTGCTTTTGCTTTTGTGGCGAGCATCATACAAATGGATGAAACCAGGAGCTGGCTGATTGCATCGAATAGCCAGAGAGGTGGCTTCTGCAGGACGCTGCAAATACTCCTAGGAACAGCAATATATCATGCTTCTGCGTGTGTCCATACTTCCTCCAAAGACTAACCAGAATTATTGCTGACATCACTTCCTTATGAAATTAGCTTTTGTGTGAGCTTTGCTGTGGTGCAATTATGGATTTTAAGGGTGGACTCCATCATTTTTAAGTGCAAAACAGTACACAAAAATACTCTTAGCTTTTAGCAACATGTAAATGAACTTGAAAGTTGATGAGTAAAGCATCTATTCTTTACATACAATCTTGAACAATCTGAAAAGCACCCTGTAAAAGATCAAACAATTCAGTACAGGCGTGTTTTTGCTTTTACAGTATCATCCTTATTCCTCTTTTTCCTTTCCATCAAGCTGGTGAGCTGGGTTGGAAAAGTATTGTAGTTTTGGTGCCAGAAATGATACGATGTTTTCTTCGCCCTCATTCCGGAATTGCATTACATCCTAGGGGTTGTGATTAAGCTCGTCAACATGTGTGACAAACATTTAGGAAGTTGAGTCAGAAAAAAGATTTATATCCTAGTGCTTTTCTCCTGTGTTTATTCCAATGCTGCTACAGCTTCTGAAAAAAATAAAGCAAGTAGTTGGGCAGATGGTAATTATCATAGGTAGGTCAGGCAGCGGTGGCATTCAGAGCTAGAGAACCTTCCCGTGAAGCTTGGAGTTGTTTCATCGGTTTCCTGTGTGGTTACCCAGAAATCCCATACCCGTGGATTCTGCTGTCCACGGCTGACACCTGCTGCTGTGGACATGAAGCCAGCTGCTTCATGTCGGTCACGTACAATAAATAAATACCTGTGCTGGAAAAACAGCAAAACTTTAAGTCAAAGAAAGTTTGTTGGCGAGTGCCTCCAGTGCCATGTTATTTCAGCAATAACGGGCTATTTATTAGCCTTGAAACGTTCTCGACCAGAAGGTTCTGTCTAGTTGGTAGGACACAGACACGTAAGATGTATGCCAAGAAAAGGTAACCTCTCTGAGGCAGCACACAGTCTGTTACTTATTTGCCTCCTAATACCCACACGTTCAGGTCATACGGGTCAGGCTTTTTAAAATAAAAGCCTTATCCTTGAAAGTCCTGGCGGGGAGGTGACTGTCTCACCACTCCTGTGTCGACGGCTGGGCTGCTGGCTCGCCTTCCTCAGCCGAGGTGTCCCGCCGGCGGGCTTCCCCGCAGCCCGACGGGCAACGGCCGGCGCGACACCTCCACCAACGCCCCCCCGCCCCACCGGCCCGGCCCGCGGCCCG